CTTCGTCTACTCTCTACCGCCACGTTTTCTCTATTCATCTGCCCTCTACCGCCACGTTTTCTTTCTGTGTCTACTCTCTACCGCCACGTTTTCTCTCTTCGTCTACTCTCTACCGCCACGTTTTCTTTCTGTGTCTACTCTCTACCTCCATGTTTTCTCTCTTCGTCTACCTCTACCTCCACGTTTTCTCTCTTCGTCTGCTATCTACCTCTATGTTTTCTCTCTTCGTCTACCCTCTACCGCCACGTTTTCTCTCTTCGTCTACTCTCTACCGCCACGTTTTCTTTCTGTGTCTACTCTCTACCTCCATGTTTTCTCTCTTCGTCTACCTCTACCTCCATGTTTTCTCTCTTTGTCTACCTCTACCTCCATGTTTTCTCTCTTCGTCTGCTATCTACCTCCATGTTTTCTCTCTTCGTCTATGCTCTACCGCCACGTTTTCTCTCTTCGTCTATGCTCTACCGCCACGTTTTCTCTCTTCTTCTACTCTCTACCTCCATGTTTTCTTTCTTCGTCTACCCTCTACCGCCACGTTTTCTCTCTTCATCTATGCTCTATCTCCACGTTTTCTCTCTTCGTCTGCGATCTACCGCCACGTTTTCTCTCTTCGTCTGCGATCTACCGCCACGTTTTCTCTCTTCGTCTGCTATCTACCGCCACGTTTTCTCTCTTCGTCTGCGATCTACAACCACGTTTTCTCTCTTCATCTATGCTCTATCTCCACGTTTTCTCTCTTCGTCTGCGATCTACCGCCACGTTTTCTCTATTCCTCTACGATATACAACCACGTTTTCTCTCTTCGTCTGCCCTATAGCGTGTTCTCGCCGGACGGCTGCTATGCACACGAGCACTCCGACACGCACACTGTCTGCGCGTGCCTGCACTGCACCAACTTCGCTCTTCTCGTACAGATGTCCGCAGTTACGGTAGGTCTGGCGACGGCGGCGGCTTAACGAAACCCGCCGCACAGTGCGCAACAGTTACTATCAACAAACAACTTGACTTACGAACGCACGCATTTTAGCCTGCTGCGTGCGTATAAGAAGGTGAGAAAGCAGACGGTGAGAGAGTGCTCGAGAAATATGGAGTACGCGAGATAAATAGATATAGAGAGAGAGGGGGAGAGAGAGACACAGAGAGAGAGAGAGACAGAGAGAAAGAGAGAGAGAAAGAGAGAGGGGGGGAAAGGAGTGTGCGCGAGAGAGAGAGCATGTGTTAGAGAGTAAAAAAAGACCGAGCGACAGAGATAGAACGGGAGGGTGAAAGAGAGAGAGAGAGAGAGAGCGAGCGCGAGAGAAACAATAAACGAGAGAAAGTGAGAGAAACAGAGAGAGAGAGTGAGAGATAGACAGCGAGAGACAGCCACAGAGAAAGAGGGAGAGAGCGAGAGCGCGCGAGAGAGCGCTAGAGGGAAACAGAGGGAACGACAGCGCGCAAGAGAATAAAACAGCAAAGAAGCGAGAACGAGAGAAAGGGACAATAATTGAGTTCACTGGGAGCGACCGCTTTATTCGTACCATTTTGTCGAATATTCCTATCCCTATTATTTAAGGTGAGCAAGAGCAGCGATCTGGCTCTGCGCTACCTCACATACGTAGGACTGTCTCTCTCAGTTCTGTTCGCCACCACGACAATTCTCGTCCTTATTTCACTGAAGTAAGTGATGCACTAGTTTTACGCGTCAATATTCGTATAATGCTTTCCCTTTTACGACAATCTAGTACATTTACCCTTACTAATTTACTTAAAATTACGTCTATTTTAACATCTTTTATCTTTTTATTAAGTTGACATCTTAATTTACTTGAAATGACATATCTTTGTTGTACGCGCGTCTGTCAACCATTTAGCTTTAAATGTTTACGTTCGCGAACGTATTTATTATAGACATCTTCGCTCCGAGAAGGTTTTCATAGTGAAAAATCTCAGCATGACCTTGATTGTCACCCAGATTACACTGATGGTCGGATGGGAGAGGGTCAGCAGTCACGTACGTCACAAGACCGTGCATAACACTCACACAGTGCCTACAATTACCACGAGAGCACATTTATTAGCTAGAAGCGCGCGTCAGAATGCCCTAGATGTAATTAGAGTAATAGAAGATTCTAAGATAGCGCAGTTCCAACGAACGCATTATTTACTTATAAATGCCCGTGAATGCCGTTGCTTGCCTAGGTTGCCTGCCTATTATTGGCAATTATGATCCACTTCTTCTGCCTGGCCGTGTTCATGTGGATGCTATGTCAGGCAGTGAACGTTGTCTTCATCATCACCATCGTAACGCCACCGTCAAAGACTCAACTGATGTGGTTGTATTGCGCGATCGCGTACGGTATTCCAGCCGTAATAGTGGCGACATCTGCCGGCTTGAAATACGATGTCTACGGGACAGATCGGCATCATTTGAAGTTTGTAGAGAAAAATAACTTTCGCCGTACAGAAATTATAGCAACTAATTAGTTTATTTTTAAGAGCATTTATCATATTTGTTCAGCGACATAATGAGGCAATCATATGCTGACATCCTGCTGCGAATAGTTATTATAATCATGTAAAATTGGCGAGTTAAATGCTCTACAGATACAAAGCGCCACATCTTAACATAAAAAAAAGGGTTTTATTGCGTTTTTTTTAGCTGCTGGATGGCAAATGACGATGGGCTCCTCTACGCGTTTGCCGGTCCTGCACTATGCGCCGTCACAGTACGCAAAATATGCATATAAGCACCGCCTTTACTACTTATACTTTGTCATGTTTACTACGTGATGACGTGTTGCGTATATAACGCGGCGATAACTGTCTTTGTCGCCTAAACAATCCAGCGGAGCACTGTCAGCGTCAGGGGTGCCCGTTGTCAGAAATATCGCATATAAAACTATCAGGAGTGCAAATTGTCGTAACTTTTCAAACGAAGTGTTGTTTCAAAAGTTACGACACTTTAGACTTATGGTAGTAACTATTTATGTTTCTGACGACGGTCCCGGATGTTTTTACACTATACTCGTCTTCTCTTCTCTCCTGTAATGATGACGTCACGTTTATTTTGCGTGACGTACGAATTTCTTGTAGGTCAATATGATCGTCCTTCTCTACATCATAGTCGCTTACTTGCGCTTGCCTCTTGCCGAAATCACACTGCGCAAAATACGGTACGTTACACACATTTACTTAATCTTTTGTCTTCACTGTTGAAGAAATACGCCAACAGAATCAGATACACGCGACATGGACATTTATGTTCTGCTCAGTAACTTAATCTACAGCGAAGTATAATGTTGCTATTGGTCGACGGCATATATGCCTCATCGCTGCAATATAGCATTGGCTGCCTTACTGCATTCTATAGGATGCAATATTCATGAAATAGTATTGAATACGAAGCTTCTTGTATTTCGCATAGCGATATACCTGGCATTTGCATAGTAGCCATATCTCGTAATATCTGTTATAGTTATGTTGTACATAGATATGTACACGCTGGCAAATAGCGGTGGGTAATTATATATTATCTATACACTCTCGCTCTCTCTCTCTCTCTCTCTCTCTCTCTCTTGCTCTTGTCTCTCCTCTCCTCTCGTCGTCCTCATCCCCTCTCTCTCCCTCTCTCCGCTCTCCGCTCTCCTCTCTTTCCTCTCTCTCTCTCCATTCTCTCTCAGCTTCTCTCTCTCCGTCTTGTCTCTTTTGCGCGCCGCTTTCTTTCTATCCATTCTCCACACCGCTCCCTCCCCTTCGCTCTCTCTCACTCTCCTCGCACGCTCACCCGCTTATTCTCTCTCTCCTCTCTCTCTCGACGCCAGCTCTCTCTCTCTCTCTCCTCTCCTCGTCTGTCTCCCTCTCTTCTGTGCTCCGGCCTTCTTCCGTCTCTCTCTCTCCCTCTTCTCTTCCACCTCTCTCTCCTCCTCCTCAACTTCTCGCTCTCTCCTCTGCTCTCTCTCTTCTCTCTCCCCTCTCTGCTCCGTCCGCTCTCGTCTCGATCTCTCTCTCTCTCTCTCGTCATTTCACTCTCCTCTCTCTCTCGGCTCATCTCACGTCTCTTTCTCTTCTCTCCTGTCTCTCCTCTCTCTCTCTCTCTCTCTCTCTCTCGTCCGCTCGCTCGCGCGCACTCTCGAATTACGCGGGTACAGGTTACGCACGACATTTAATTGATTCCACGACTGATTCATCTTCTAGTGGATCCGTAAAAGGTGGGCTGGTTCTTGTTCCGATGATGGCGGCTGCATGGACCTTCGGCTTACTCTCATTCAGATACGATTCAGTCCTGTATCTGTACATTTTCGTCATACTGACGCATTTCAGGTAGGTTAAACCACAGCACTTAAAGCCAATTTAATAATATAATGATAGTAAATAAATGCAAATTTAATTTACAACTAACGTTTTACTATCTCTGTGTTCTGTATCGTACAAAGTACCAGTTTATGTTCTCTGTATCGTCTAATAATTCCACGCTTCAGCTTCTTAAATACTTCGCTACAACACAAAATGTCACAGCACGCAGAATAATGCGTGCAAAATCACAAAAGATAGAGCGAGCTATTATGATTTTGTTTACAGTGGCATTGCGTATAGGGAGGTATTATGTGTTGAAAAGTATTTGGGAAGCATTTGCGTTGAATTATAAAGCATTACAGAGTACGTAAAAATTTAGACTTTTATAGTAAATATAATCCATATTTATTTCCTATCATTATAATATTGGAACGCTATGAGGGTTAAAAACTTCATACGCGACCAAGTATTATATATTCGCGCTGGTGACGTCACAGAAGTTTGGTCGCAGGATTAGGCGGAGCAGCGCAACCGATACTCAAAGCGTCACTTTACAACAACATAGTTCATTAGATCACACGAAGAACACATAAACTACATTCACACAGCACGTAACACAGTTCATGCGCTCCTGATTACATTCGATATGCTTCTAGAAGTAAAATTGCATCACTCTATAGGTAAATATAGAACAAAACACAAGGTATGAATCATCGACTGATTGTTACGCTAACACAGGCATACCATAACTGGTGCGTATATCTGTCGTTCACAGGGCGTGGGCGTCTTTGTGTTTAATATACTGCTAAACAACGAGCTGATGGATGAACTTGGTCGAATCTCATCCGGTGAAACTCGGAATGCAACCACGGGTAAGTTATTTAGTACGTCACACGCTCGTTCGCTTGACGCATTCTCCAAACAACGCGCCAAATCTCATTTAACGCCATAATTATTATATACAATCCAATAGAAGAATTTAGAGTAAAACCGAATACGATAGAACAGTCGAATAAAGTGCAATGTTTACCGGGTGCATTTAAACGAAAGATTATGTCGACGAGTTTTAGCTGTAACGGATTTAACACGACTGGTGGATAGTTTTTAGTAATTAATACGTGGATAATAGAACTAATGGGTTCGTCTCTTGAACAGATGAAGGCTTGCCGATAGAGTATAGACTCGCTGATAAGGAGGAGTAAGGAATGGATGGAAGGAAAGAGGTTGGTGTGTTTATCAACTGATTGGTGAGGGTGAAGGTGATCCTAAGCCGTTGCCGTAAAAAAAAACACAATATACGATGAAGAATATAATATCTAAATAAGATAATTACACATAAGTATAAGTACTTAACACATTAGAAGATTCCAATACGATGTTTACTGATATCAAGCTGATATATTTCTCTGCATAATATAATGTAGGTGTGAATAGGTAAGACATTATAAATTTATATATCGCAGGAGAACTTATCATATCTTATGGAGGCGAGATGCAAAGTTTTCATGCTGATATAGTGTATACATACACAGCTGTTTACCTTACTAGCTTTACCACGCGTATGCAAATAGATTCATTAAAGTTAAAATGTAATTAAAAAACTCAAATTCATAATTACCTGTTATATCTGTGTGGGTTTCACCGTGCCGTGGACATTACGCGAATATAAGCGTAAAATGCATTTCACATTCATCACTGCTGCCACAATTGATCACGTAGATTTATTTTACAAGACAAGATAAGTAATGATGAGCTACGCAAGGATTCGGTTACTCTGTTTTGAAACATTATTCTGCAATAAATGCTAAACCACACTGTGGTAAAATGCAAATACTGTTTGTATCTTTATCTGTGAATTATTCCGATATTTATTCACAATTTATTACATAGATCTATTCTGCGTTACCCCTATCCACATTAAATGCATAGTCATCACAAAATATACGACGAAAATTACCACAGTGCACCACGGCAGGGAAACTATATATATATATATATATATATATATAATTATGTGTAAGTAATGTAAATAAAAATTCTTATGTTTTAACTGCGAGCTTTTAAGATAGTATAAGTCCTCGTTAGGCTGCAACTTCAGACATACGGGGCAACATATTGTCTCTTCAAAAGCTCGCATATGAAATATAGGACACCGTTTTTCTATATTTTCATCTCACAAAGCATCAAATCGTAAGGGAGATCTTACAGTAAGGATGTTACAAGTGGTAGGCACATACACTACGACATGCATGCAATCGCAAGCAGTGGGCATTTAATGTTCTCTCCGTATTTAATCGCGATTCTTCGCTATAGATGGCGCTACGGTAGATATCCCAGCGCATCCCGGAACGTGGCTGAGGAGCAAGCGGTAGTAGTATTGCGGCTCCTATCCCTGCCACTGACGTCGCAGTCATAACGCGCTGCCACCGCCTCGTCACCTTCGTCTGGCGTTGCCCGACCGCTACGACCTTCTAGAGAGTAGCTGTTGGGTGTGACGTAAGGCGAGCTAGGGTGGTGTAGGTGGTGCGGTGGTGAACGGTTGACGGGCTTGTAGCAGGGTGGTGAGGTGTTGTGGGGCGGTGAGCCAGATGTGGTACGGGGTGTGTGGTGTGGTGGCGAGGTGTTGTGGGGCGGTAAGACAGATGTGGTACGGGGTGTGAGGTGTGGTGGTGAGGTGGTGTGGGGCGGTGAGCCAGATGTGGTACGGGGTGTGAGGTGTGGTGGTGAGGTGGTGTGGGGCGGTGAGCCAGATGTGGTACGAGGTGTGAGGTGTGGTGGCGAGGTGGTGTGGGGCGGTGAGCCAGATGTGGTACGGGGTGTGAGGTGTGGTGGTGAGGTGGTGTGGGGCGGTGAGCGAGATGTGGCACGGGGTGTGAGGTGTGGTGGCGAGGTGGTGTGGGGCGGTGAGCGAGATGTGGTACGGGGTGTGAGGTGGGATTGTGAGGTGTTGTGGGGCGGCGATACAGGCGTGGTACGGCGTGTGTGGTGTGGTGGTGAGGTGGTGTGAGATGGTGATACAGGCGTGGTACGGGGTGTGAGGTGTGGTGGTGAGGTGGTGTGGGGCGGCGTAACAGACAATGCGCGGAGTGTTAGGTGGGATTGTGAGGTGTTGTGGGGCGGCGATACAGACGTGGTACGGCGTGTGTGGTGTGGTGGTGAGGTGGTGTGGGGCGGCGTAACAGATGCGGTGCGGTGTGTACGGTGTGGTGGTGAGGTGGTGTGGGGCGGCGTAACAGATGCGGTGCGGTGTGTACGGTGTGGTACTGGTGAAGGTTGCCTGCCTCGCTGCTCCCTCGCCGTACTATCACGGCACGGCGTGTACGACCAGTTGGATAGACTCACGTGCGACGCGCTGCCGTTGCTGCTGCTGCTGCTGCTGCTGCTCCACGAAGAGTCCCTTCTCTCATGTCTGATGCGCACGAGGTCGGACACCGCCTGCACACCGCGTCCGATCAGCATCGCTGCACCACCACGCTTCTTCACCTTAGCGTAGAGACCGCCCATCGTGCTCGAACCGGCCACAGATGGCGCGCGCGTCGACTGGTTGATGACCTCGTCCGGGTCGAAGAACGGGTAGACTTTGACGCCCCCTGTCGGGACCTTCGCCGCGTAAGAGCCGACGGCGTACGCGGGCGCGCTCTGGCGGCCGGTGCGAAGGCTAAGCATGTTGATGCCGTATTCGTACGGCTGGCAGATGTCGCTCTTCTCGCAACCGGGGAGGTACTTTTTTCGTAGATTAAATTGCTTGGGCGCTTCGTAATCCCGAGAACGACCGAAGGCACCGTCGATCGCAGCGCCGCCACTCGTGTCCGCGGCGAGCGGCCGCAACTCACCGACATTATCCTCGGCGTCTCTCTCCTCGCAGTTGGCATTGCGCCAGAACTGACTAGCTTCACGCTGATAGGTCGGAATTTGTGGACGCCGCCGCCCTATCAATCGCCTGCGAGATCGTAGCGAATCGGAGCTCGCGACGATATCCGAACCAACCGGATACGCGACGATGGCGCTGCTGTCGTCGCCGTCGCCGCTACTTTCGGCAGCGGCCGCCAGGCGGCGCGGCAGTCCCCAGCTGTCGTAGAGCACGCGCTCGAACAGGCGTCGCTTGTGGTCGCGCTGCGCGCTCGCGAGAGCGGCGACGATGTTTCTCGCGTCGGTCTCGCGAGAACAGACGAACGCGTGGCAGTCGACGACGCTCGAGCGACCGCCGCGCCGCGTCACGCAGACGAATATCGGCGGATGCCAGACGCGCGCGAGCAGGCGCGCATACAGCGTCTGATACTCGTCGCCTAGCGACGAATCTGCTGCGGGAGGCGCCCCCTCGCGGTCGAGCGGTTCGAAGGCGCCGCACAGACGCTTGTTGAGTAACCGACAGCGGAAGCGGACGGCGGCGGCGAACGAGACGTTGGCGATGGCGTAGCGCGTTTCGCGCAGGTCGCCGCCGCTGTCCTTGTAGAGCAGTCGCAGACCGGCTCCGCAAACGACCAGACGTCGGTACTGCGGCCGCTCGGTGCGCGCGCGCGTAACGTAGCGGTGGTAGAGACGCGTCAGCGCCTCCTGTGATGCTGTTAGCGGCCTGGCGACTGTGCGCATGCGCTCGCCGCCGAGGTACTCCAACTCGAATCGCTTCGTCGGCATGGCTGCCTCCACTGCGTTCACGCGTCGCGCGTTCGTCCCTGGCGTGAATGGCTTCATCTCTCCACGATTCATCCACGGATGAGGATGCTGGTCGTCATGACGACGCCGTTATCGTGCCTGCCCGGCTGCGTCCGCTCTGTGTCCTCGACGATGGAGACACGTGAATGAGACCGTGCTTATAGTGGCACGGAGCCACAACCTATCCGGCTTTCGTTAGCGCGTCGGAGTGCGTGGAGTTTAGCATATAGATCTGCCGACGCAAGTCGCATTTGAAACGGAGTCGAGGACATGCGTCTTGCATACACGCCGCTGGTTGCTCTGCATTGCGTCATCTGTCTCAGTATCTATTATAGCATGCTAACAACTCCTATGTTCCAGTATCCGCTATAACATGCTCACTTCTCTTATATCCCCGCATCCGTTATAACATGCTCATATCTCCTATATACCACCAGCATCTGCTATAACATGCTCATATCTCCTATATATCCCAGCATCTGCTATAACATGTTCACACCTCCTATGTATGGCGCAAAGCATCGCTGCTATAACATGTTCACAGCGACCGCAAGTACCCTCCTATGTATGCCAGCATCCGCTAATAACATGCTCATCTCACTATATCCACCAGCATCGTGTCATAAACATGCTCATAATCTCCTATAATCTCCGCATCCGCTATAACATGCCTATCTCCCTATATGATACCCCACGGCATCTCCTATAACATGCCATATCTCGCTACTAGTATTCATGGCATGACCGCCTAATAACATGCTAACACCTCCTATGTATGCCAGCATCAGCTATAACATGTTCACACCTCCTATATCCAAGCATCCACGATAACATGGTAATATCTCCTATGCTCCACTCTCACTCGGACCGACCTGTCATGTCACTGCATCTGCCAGCTATGATTTATCGTTTATACGTAACCACCGCAGGTCATCGAATGATCGCTGCTACGGATGGACGCGAACACTTACCTAACCCGGAGCCATCAGCAAGCGGCTGGCCTCGCATCGCCTAACGCATCAACTCATAGGCGGTTACGCGTGCACTGCCCTGACCCATCACGCGAGGCGTATAAACTAGTCACAGGGTGCTGCGCAATTAGGATGCGCGGGGCTAGCACTCGAAAAGCGAGTTCGATTTCACAACGGGTTACGTACGCGGCGATGCTACGTGCAAATTTCCCCTAAATGATCGACGTGTCTGTCGTTAATATTATAGTACCAGGAGTGAATAATAATAGACTACTAATACTATATAATATATAATAATATATTATTCGCTTCTGATAGTACGTCTAGGTGACGTAATTGCGATGCACATATAGAAAAGTACTGCGTGCATAAAATCCCGGGCAATTAGCACACGCAGTATGTATCGCCGGTCGTAAAAGTAGGTGTGTACGCGCGGGTGCGTGTTTGCTGTTGACACGCTGAGGTTATGGGGTGGGGGGGGGTAGGCTACGGTGGCCCCCTCCCCGAGCCACCCACTTAATTGAGACATCCTCTCAAAATATCGCTGATCGGCTGCTGTCGTTAAATGGTCCGTTACAGGTGCGCGCGCCGCTGCGGTCATACGCAGCCCCGGGTGGGGTCAGAAGGAACTAGGCAGCACGCGATGTGATGTGTGTGTGTGTGTGGGGTGCGCGCGCGTGTGTGTGTTGTGTGTGAGTGTGTGTGTGTGTGTGTGTGTGTGTGTGTGTGTGGGGTGCATGGTGCGTGTGTTAGTGTGTGTGGGTGCTGTGTGTGTTGTGTTGTGTGTTGTGTGTCTGCTGTTGTGTGCATGTGTGCGTGCGGGCCATCCGTTACGAGTAGTCGCTTACATATGGAATCCAAACGATAAAGGTCGCCTGTGCTAACACGAACCTGTGTGTAGAACAGTCGGAAACAAAATATTCTATACATAAATTCTGTATCTGTCTAATTGCGTGTCTTGTAGGGCTATACACATACCGTGTGCAAGTACGCCTGTACGCACGCACGAATGCCAACCTATGCACGCATGCATACAGGCACACGATAAACGTATGCACAAATTCAGCCACACTTGTTGACTGACACTTGCTCTTACCCATACAATTGTTTAAAATCTCGCAATCTTATAACGTGGAGGCAAGAAAACCTAATTCCGTCTTACTAGT